CATTTTATTTGTAGTGTGAACGAGCAGACAAAAAAATCGGATTTGATCAAAAAATCTGAATTGAGCATCAAGACCTGCAGAGTGAACGCAGCCTAACTGCTAAACATGCCCAACTTTCCCAGTGTTACAGCCATCAAATTCAAACTTGGAGTTAGTCAGCCCAACTACTACAATCTTACTTTGGTCACGTAAATAACTGCTCACCTGATTTATTGTCACAGAATGTTTTTACTGCACATCGGAAAATATTCTAGTTTTTCTGGAAATGTGGTCACATGTAATAGAGTATAGTTACTTCAACCTCAGCAAAGCAAGACTTTTATTCTCCGGCCACACCTGACAGGTTAGTGCCTTCAACTGGACAGAAAATTGCTGATACTGGGATGAGCTTAAAGACAAAGCCCCAGAGGGAACACACATTTTTATCAGACTTAATCGAGGCAGTTGACATAAACACCAACTGTTGAGTGTTTTTAAACAATTTCCTCTCCTTTCATTCGGAGTTTTGTAAAATAAAAAAAGCAGACATGTCCTTAATGGCCAGAAGACGGCGTCCAGGACGAGCAGCATGTTCCTCTGATCATGCTTGAAGCCTTTGATTCCACCGTCCTGCTCCGCCTTTAGTCTTCATCACTACCCATCTCTATAGGGTCAAAATCTGGGTCATCTTCATCCAAATCCAAGTCCTCAATGTCCTGGAATAGAGACTCGTCCACTTCAACGTTGTTTCCAGCTGCATAGGAAGAAAGCCACGGGGTTAGAAGAAACTTCACAGGAAAAAGATTATTCCCACTAAATGCTGTTCTAATCAGGATATATCACTTAGAAAGTCACATTTTTTTCTCTCTTTCACGTGTCTGCCTGCTGCCAATCCATATCCATGCACAACCAATCCCGTTTCTCCCTATGTACACAAACACAAACACAATTCCATCCATTTTCTGCCACTTATCCAGGTTCGGGTCACCGGGGTCTGAAGCCCAGACTTCCATCACCCTGGCTCTTCAGCTCATCTGGGCAGACAATGAGTTGTTCTCAAGCCAACCAAGTAGGACACGCCCAGAATACTTCACCCAGGAGGTGGGGGGGGGCCAGATGCCCGAACCACGTAAACTGACTCCTTTCGCTGTGGCTAGCGGCTCTACTCTCAGCTGAGCTCCTCAGTCTAAGGGAGAGCCTTCAGAGGAAGCTTACGTCTGCCACCTGTATCTGCAAATGTGTTGTCTTGGTCACGAGGCTGAGCTCATGAGCACAGGTGAGGAAGGAAGGAAGATCGCAGGAAATCAACAACTTTGCTTTTAAGCTCTCCTCAACAAAACAAGATGATACGAAGTCCGTGGCTCAATCCTGACAATCTCACGTTCCCCTCTGCCCTCACTTGTAAACGAGACCCCGACATACTCCTCCACCCGGGGTAGTAACTCGTCCCTGACAGAGTTTGACTCCACCCT